CAATCTTTATTACCAGGGTACAACCTTTGGTAGGCCATGCTCACAACAAACTACACAAACTATAAAAACTGTCCCCCAAAAATATACAGCCTGTAGTTTCCACGCACCCCCGACCATTTTAATACATTGGCAAATTTGCATTGACAAAAATCAAAGGAGCGGATAACTCTAATCACACTTTCCAAGTGTGACTGATTTTGAGACGGGAGGACTATAATTTGCATTTTATCACAAAACAATTGACTTAATTGGAACTTAAGTAAACACTATGCACAACAACACACTGTTACGACATGCATATCAAACGAATGCGGATATCGAAAAGCGTGGCTGTTATAGGTCATTATAATGCCAGGTGATTTGTGCGACCGAAGATGTGCCTATATACATCTATATACGTCTCTGGTGCGACGTATCCTACCGCATACACCATATAAGAAAATTGGGAAAAACGGTTAAGTTCAAACAAATAAAGTATGTTTAGTCTACTTTATGTAAAACTTGTACATCATTGATAGGTAAAATTATAAGCTAAAATGTAAAGGCATTAACGACATCGATCCATGTTCCGACTTCTAATGAGTAAACAATGCTGAGTGTTCAAAAGGGCTTCTAGGTCCACAGATACAAAGAGATAATACAAGACGACGTTCACGGGTTGTATACAGGCATACTAGTAACCTGGACGACAAAAATAATATCTTTTTAATTTATAACTTTCACCTAGCAGTAATCGCACTACAAACACCTGTTACACATCATGGGTTGATAATGTAACACGTCTGTGATATTAATTTAGTACTTGTTTTATTTCTCAATAGAATCCATTCCAATTTAACTTCACCGATAGCGTCGTGCATATTGGTAGCAAAAAAAAGAAGTAAAAATGGAAGGTATAGGACTTTCCTTTCCTAGAACACTGGTGGAGAAAAATTGCAATCTTCATATCACTTAGCTGAATGTCATTTCGAGACGATCAAGGGACATGATGACATGGCGCAAGCTATACAGATGATGAAGCACATTTGATCTTATCGCTAGAAACCACCTGGTACGTGTGCACCCAGTTGATTCACGCACCAGACAAAAGATGAGAACGATGTTCGAAAACATTATCCCATTTAGCTCTGTCAGTGACAGATAGTTGGATATTCTCACATAATACTCCACTTTCAATAGGGATATTTTGTATCTTTCCAAGATACACAAAACTGATTCGTATAACATGTCAAATGTATACTTAAATCGAATGAAAATCTGATTCATGCCTCTCGAAAGTTAACTTTTATATATTCTTGATACACTCATAACAAGTAACCGTTTAATAAAGCTGAAACCATAACCAAGTCCCCATTCGATACATTCATATCGTTACGATGACAACCAAAGTGAAATTATCTTAAGACTATGGGGTTGGGGGGAACGGGGTGGGTTTCAACATGATGTAAGTATATGTTAATAGTTATTATGTGTACCAAATATGTCCATTATCATATCTAGCTTTACTTATTGGTGATTATCAAGGCAGCACATCAGCGATGCACCGAAGTATATTTTGTTACTTTTAAAATGTCTGCTTCATGGGACGTCTGCGTTATGGGAGTGCACAAAATGACCACACTTCAAAATCGTAAAAATAAACAGGAGCGTGTTTGTCCAAACAACCAAGTCAACGAAAACATGAAATATAGTATCCATAAAATGCTCGAACTGTCAGCTAATATATCACCGACTAACCGCCTATATCACAAATCTCACGTTTTTGATACAGTAGCCGTAGATAGCACGATTGATATTGCTGGGCGGGTACGCCACCTGACTGCACAGCTACTCATCCAGACCCAACCCTGAACCCGTCAGTCCACTTGGCTGTGGTTCAGGCACTCGGTTACTAGGTAGGATCCTCAATACGCTTATGTGTACTAAGGCATGTTGTGAGTGGATACGTTTCGCTCGGCCATAATAAAAGCATATAATGTTCAAATGTAGAGCAAGGACACCTATTGAGTGATTGGATTCCCGGGGTAACCAAGGGCCGTAACATTCAGTCGCGAGGTGAACCCTACGAGTTGCGGCGTGTGCGATATCTTTGAAATGTTTGAAAGAGTGCATTGCTGTCTGTCCATCAAGCGTGACCGGTTTCAACATACTACAGTAGGATTATGCATTATTAAGATAGATTCACAATGTGTTTAAAGGCGATTATTTAAATTAGTACCATGCGTGTTCGGACTCAACAGATGTAATATAAACTACCCATAACGACACATTGTGTTTAGCAACAGATAGAACCGGTATCAGTTTTCAAATGAGCGTATGGGTAATGACCGAGCTCTGCTCAAGTTACTGCCCGTTTCTAGAGACCATATACCAATGCATATTGACTCCAGAAACGGGCAGTAACTTGAGGAGACGCGCATTGATCTCTGGTCATAATCGACTACACATACCACAGAAATGTTCTAAATTAGAAATAAGCTACATGAACCTAAAGGGGATAGACTAGCGTTAGTGTCTGAAAACGATTAATTTCGATAGAAATAAGCGACTACATTTAATTGAAAAGGAGCCCCAATGAAACCTGTGCAAGATCTAGACTTGCTAAATTGATGGCTGTAGCATTACAGTTAGGGCTGGGCGGAAGGGACAATAACATGGTTCAGGGGCAGAGACAGACAACTTTTGGGTACGTCTAGGCCAATACACTGTCTTGGTGTACGGATATCCTAAGTTAATCAATATGCAAAGAGGCAGGAAAAATAAAAAATAAAAAGTGAAAGGTGTTGAGGTAAAAAAACCAATGTGTGTCTCCGCCCTTCGAAGACGCTTGAAACACACAACCTCAGTGTGTCGGCAGGGCATGTCGGGTAGCCTAGTGGTTAAAGCGTTCGTTCGTCACGCCGAAGACCCGGGTTCGATTCCCGACATGGGTACAATGTGTGAAGCCCATTTCTGGTGTCCCCCGCCGTGATATTGCTGGAATATTGCTAAAAGCGGCGTAAAACAATACTCACTCACACTCAGTGTGTCGGTAAGTGACTATACGGCGTCATGACCCAAATAGCCGCGAAGGCAGTTACGTTACATCAACCAGTATAGATTTACATGCAGTTTGTCGACAGAACCTTCACACGTGCAGAATCAACACGGGAGGCCATCGATTGTTAAGTCCGTCATTATCACCTCAACTGGTGGGGTGGGAGTTGGGTCCAACACATGAAAGGGCAAGTTGAATCGCACTAATTAGAAACCACGGTCAATGGAACCGACTTACCCCATGCGCATCTACATCAACGAAGAGGAATCGAGTGACAATACAATTTAACCGCCAGGACAAAATTGGTACGATCGATGTGACATGCTTCTGTGGCGCGTCTGGCCATGAATGCACTTCCAGCACACATCTCAATGGGCAACTGCACAGGTGGATGGATGGAGGCAAGCGGGTCGAACTAAAACGGAGAATTGATCGAGGGTATGTTCGCTTAAAGGTCTTGCCCGCCAGAAAACACCTTGACAGCAGGGTCCATACTTTGAAGACTAACAGTTCATCAATAGGGAAAATTAACTTGCCTGCTTTGAGCCCATGTATTACGGTTTTACAACCACAGATGCATTAGCTCCGATAATAGACGAATAGGTTTCCTGCATATATACAAGTTTAAGGGTTGTGGTAACGTGACATCAAAACTGCGAGGGCTATTCAGGTTTAATGGACGCGGACGAGAATATACGTCAAGTAAGGTTTCCAACATGAAATATATAATGCCTGGACCGCGAAGATAATTTTAGAAATTACAGATTTACAATTCTCGTGACGACGGTAACGTGTTGAACTTAAAAACCGACCTCTGCAGCTGTTTATTAGCTAGATACGGAGCCACACTGCATTGTTTGCCGGGACGCAGTGCCGTGCTTCGAAAATTTTCAAACTAGTGCCGAATCCAGAGGGAAGATGGTGCCTCATTCTTTGATCGCGCATCTTGGTAAACGAAAAGCGACGTATACAGATAATTGGAATCACTTGATTGGTCTTTGAGCGAAAACTGTGTGTCTGGAAACGATGCTTCCGACAAGGATAAATCTTTAATCATTACATAAGCTGAGCCAGCTTGTCACAACCAACAAAGTCACAATACATCCCGACAGTACCTTGCACACACGACCTTAAGGCAAGACCTAGTCTGTTCGTTTATCAATACAATGTACTTGTCTGCTACAATACCCAAGCATTAAATTGGGGCTAAGGTCAAATGAGGTGTCGCTGCTAAGGTGACGCCGACCCACCGAGTGTATGAACTACATAGGGATTACCCTCATTCTGTACTTATCGGTCCACTGGCCCAGTGACACAGTGCTGATTAATATCGATGGTATATGGGTTGACGTACTTGCGATAAACGGATGGCCCTAAGTCACGTGGTGACGGGTAGGCGAGTGCCCTTAGTCGGACTGACCTGTGCCTAAGGATACCCCGCCAAGATGACTGCAGACTGTTCGTCACAGGAGATCGAAACGGCGGCAGAACGCGTGGGCGAAGCCAATATTGATCGTCTATCCTATACGGTTTATCCGACCGCACATGCATCTGATTTTAAAGTTAAATAATAAAGTCGGGATCGAAACAAACAGCCTGTGCAGCCTAAATGGATGTGTGGTTGGGGCTACTCCGCTTGTTCGGACAACTATACAGTATAAGCACTCATATATGCCGCCTTACGAGGCTAACAGATGTAACCAGGTGACAGGTCCAGACTATTCCTCATATTCGAACACTCGAGGACACGGGTGGAGTGCACTTAACATAGATGAAGTCAATCAGCTTGACATTTGCGTTTGGTGATCGTGTTGTTCGAGGTTTTTGTTTATACGATAACAGGTTTAGTACGTGTGGTGTGTGTTTGAGTGGGTGTGTGTAAGTGTGTGTGTGTGTTCAGGAAGGGGGTGGGGGGGTGGTGGTGGTGGGGTGGGGTGGGGTGGGGTGGGGGGGGGGGGGGGGGCCACACCCACTAACACCACCACTCTGGATCCGAGCAAGCTTTGTTCCTACTCTCCCAATACATAACAAATTAAAAATAACTGCTTAACTACTTAAAATATAAATCATATATCTTAAAAAATAAAATATCATTTCAGAAACAAAAACAACACTTCCAAACATTCATAATTCATAGGTTCAACAACACACACGGGGTATTTCTACGAGTCAGACAATCGACCTGTACAGGCGAAGCCAGCGCTGTAAAATATTTACAAAGTCTACAAGCGAAGCAATGAATCTTTTGGGGCATGGAGAAGTTGTTGACTAATAAATAAAGAATGATATCGTTAAGTCTGCCTTGTATCTCTAGGAACGTGGACCTAATTCGACTGTTGCTGTAAGCTTGTAGTTAAGTGATCATAATCATTTACAGCCATAGCATGCATTTACATATAAAGCGTTATATCTTGTGTAACTATGTTGTACATATCTAACGCAGTTAGAGGTAAGACATTATGCCTATCCCGTCGATGCATACGAATGTATATACAATCGACATGAGGACAGTATAATTACAGTGTTTCTAGGCACACACGACAGGTGCTTGTTACTATAAGGTGTGGATTTCGGAAATACACATACTACAGACGGAAACAATGTACATGGTTGTCGATTTCGTGATACCCAGAAGTGATTCATCTACACGAATTGCAACGAACATAAATGCCACCTCAGTACATAGTACTGTTGATTGCAATACGACTTAAGTAAAGCTACCTTTAAAGACGAGTCCAATGGCGACGTTTGTGTTCTGTGAACTTCACTTGTCCAAATGAGATCTTTGTCAACACCCATTGCTATCTATACATGATCAGTATACACATTTGCAACTTACTGTGCACGAAGCCTAGTTTCCATGGAACACATTGACATAGCAATTAAACGTATGTACACACTGGCATGTTGATTCAGAAAAAGAATGACGGATAAATTCAGACATTGCACATTAGGCCACCGGGTTTAGCTTCCCGGCAAGGACGTTCATTACATGCTCGAGGTATATATACTGGCAACACTCTCTGAGACGAGGCGAAGTCTACGTCAATATCTAATCGATAGCGCTCAGGCTTGCTTCCTTACAGAACATTGCAATAGCACTGCAGGGAATACATGCCATTCAGTGGTGCACTGGCATCAACAATTGTTTTGTTAAGACTAGTGCACTTCTATGGAAATCATTCGACTGGAATTCATGAAATCCGGATAATGGATTCCTAGTGCTTTTCTAAAAGAACAATGGAGCTAAATGGATATATTTACTGGTTGTCATTGATTGGAAATTTCAGAATCAATATATGGATTGAAAGATTGCGCAAATTATACATGCAGCATTAATGGTATACAGGAATTGAAAGAAAAGATTCAGCTGTGAATGAGATGCACAGTTTTCATTTATTGTAACATATTCCATGCTAAGTGTTTAACCATAAGTATATGCCAAAGCAGTGGTATTAGTACCATGTTGAACAATACGTTCAATACGTTTTCTATCAATTTCTTGAAAGATTATTAACAGTTTATTATCACGAGCGTATCGATCTCGTGTATCGATCTCTTATGTAATGATGGAACATTAGGAGACAGTGATTGGACGTGATTGCTGGATCCACCAGTGACAACTGTTATTTACCACGACTTCAGATGACACCTAGTACAAACTGTCAAAACAGACTATATCACGTTGGTGAGTTGTTGAAAAGAAGCCAACACCCTACTTCCAATCTAACCTATTTTTAAACAGGTACAAATGTCACAGACCTATTTCATCTTGTACTTAGCAAATATGATTGTCTACACAGGGTCGTTATCTTAACTTGCCACTAATGAAGTTTGATATGAAATTGTCATGTACTTTGGGTATTAACCAGAGCCTAAATTCTAAAATGAGTTGTTAACCCCAGTTTGAATACTAAAATGAGTTGATCACTATTAATACATGCTTTTGGCTGAAGGAGACACTGCTGCAAAATGGACTAACAACCTCCTAGGGAACCATCTCTTGTAATACTGTGTATAACATTACTATTCACATCCAATAATAATACAGGAGTTAACATATTAACAAATATATCATGATGTTAACAGATAAAAGAAAATCGTGATGCGAGAGATATTGTATGCGTCTTCCATGGATGTACTAAATGTAATACACATGTACTGTTACAACCGAAACATGTTTCTCCCCGTCACAAAAGTCAGAGCTTCAGATGACCACTTACATGGCTGCCTCACACATGAAAACATTTTTGAGAAACACGACCCATATAGACTATAGGAGACCCATCGTTTTCACAGAAAAGGGTCAGGGATATAGGGTTACCTGACCGGCAAGTATCAACCAACCTGAAACTATAAATATAGGGTGACCCATAAGTGTCACAACCCTTGTGGCGTTACACCCCTACCTCGCACTTGGACTACTCTCTTTAACAGTAAAGTGTTAAACATCTGTCAGTAGCAACATCAGCTTGCACCGGGTATACACAACCACTACATTGCTAACTTCATTTTTCAATGTTTTCATTTGTACATGTAAATACCATTAAACATGTGCTATTAAATAACACAGCTTACAAATACCATGGAGTCTTTAACACTTAACAGAATGGGATTCACCTAAACAAGGGGATAACAAAAAAACCGTCTAAACAATTCCAACGTATTGTTCAAGATATTTCACATTCATTTAATGATCTAACCATTGTCAATATTCCGCTTACGTAATTCCGTTAGGAGATAGATATACAATTGTAATTGCAGAAAGAGGTATCCCAACAAAATCATGCTGATGTGAACACACACAAGACGTGTGTGTTTACACTCGGCATACACAAGATGTTGCTAGCCCATGTTAAGATGGAAGGTCACCAGAAAAGACAATCTTATACAGGTAGGTGAATAACACTGACGAAATCTAATAACACACCTCATATACCGTTTACCCTTGCTACTTTTCACTTAACGCTTTCGTTGGGAGACTTGGTCCTCCTGGTGGAATGTCGCTCAGGGTCGGAGGTCAGGGTCACTTCGGGTCACCCCAGATCGGAAGATTATCAGCAGTTGCGTAGATTTGTATCTTGGCCGAAGGGCTCGTGACTTGCAAACCACGTGGGCAGAAGAAGCAATGTAGAATAGAAACTATTGCAGTCCTGAGGATTACGATGCATCACTTGTCAAAAGTTAATTGTTATTATTAAACAGTCCACATAAAACACGTGTCTTTTCATACAGCCTTTTTTCTTAAATTGCGCTTGTCTATATAAGCGTTGTAAAAGAAATTGGCGAATAACACAAAGTAACTAAAATACATCATTGACGAGTACCTCAAATTCTCGAAGGTCTGTTGACAGTACTGGCCGTCCAATTTGATGTAGTAAATCCAAATATTGATGATACACCCTACAATCATCTGCACCAGCTGTAGAGCGGTCACTACCATGCTGATTGATTTGGGTATTGCGAATCTCATAGCTCGAAGAGCATAGTAAGAATACATCAAGGAATGAACGATATAATTCATCACCATGAACCAGCGTCCTGGGGCAGTGTGGTCGGTGTAACTGTACCAGACGTAGATAAGGACGGTAATATGATGATACCAGTGTAAGAAAATCAACTGCTGCTTTCGTAAAACGATAAATATAGTGTCGCCCAGTTCGTATACCTTCGATACGGTAAACATGAATGACCAAAACGCGGTCACGCCTTTGAAGTATGTCGGTACGCACACGGAATGCTGAAGACCATGGTTTTTCACAGCCGACAATAATTCGGGTAGGGTTCGAACCGCTCCAGCGATACTGAATATAGCGAGGATGCCGCTCCACATTGCTAAGAACGGACGTAGATCAAATCGCTGGCGTTGACTCATATACCACTGGCCGACGAATATAATAAGTACATAAATTGTCGAATAAGTGAAGCTATCGGTCCATCGGTCTATCATGTACTTCCAAAATGTCAGTTCGTTCCATTCTCGTTCGAAGTTGAACACGTAGGAATAATTGTGCTCTCCTGCTTCCAACATGGCTGGGTATTTTCACTTCACTTCCAAATACCGGTACTTTCGCTATACACCCGCCTTTGAACCGCTAGGACTACTCCTCTCACTGGTAAGACAACATACACGCTACAGCAGCATGCACTACCGGCGAGTTCGTATGGAGATCAGATCAAACGGCTATTCTCATTGGTCAATACAATCAACTGAGAAAAATTAACCAATCAGCGACGAGAATACAACCGCGGAGGATAGAGGTGATATTACCGGTATGGGATATTAACAGCACAACTGCTTTTCTATCGATCAGACAGTTCAGAAACCGCTGTTGTTAAGACGCTCAAATAGAGAATAGTATCGTACGTGTTCACTATGGAACAGCTGTTGACTGTATGCAATTACGGTGTTAACATAACTTTGAATCCCATTCATGCATCGTTTCACTTGAAAGACAGCTGGCTATAAATGTCAGTGTATATGTACTTTGAAGCGTAACTATCACAGCCCAACTGGAGATCTCAATGCGGAAGCGTTGTTTTAAGTTTAGTATTTATCTATACAGTTCATGCTGAGCGCATCACGCGAATCTATTCTTTTGCATGTATAAATTTAAATGATTGTTGCCGAAAATAGCTCCCTACTTTTTAACAAACTCTACGCTTGTATTTGATTACCCTATTTTAAGTTATTGAAATATGAATGTGACAAGAACGTGAATTCCATGTTATATTTACAATTAGGTAACAAGATCATAATACTGACACATCTTTAAATTCAAGTCAATATAGGTATAGCATTAGACTAAAACTAAGTCCATGAAAGCATTTATTTTATTTAAAAGAATCTTTCCTCTTCTGTTTTCAAGTGGAATCAAGGAAACTAGACTTGGTTAAGTTTGATATAAACTTGCCTAGGCTTTTAGCAAAACACACAAGTACGCACGCACGCACGCACGCACGCACACACACAAACGCGGTAAAAATATCGGAGTTGTAGAATAAACCCGTGAAACTCTGCAGATTATATGAGCTGTAGTATCAAGGTAGACAGATTTGAGTTATTGACTTCAACTTCTTCATTCTTTCAGTGCAAAGTTTCGACACTGATGCTGGTACCGTTATAAAATTCGGGTTAGGATATAGGTCTTCAGCTACCCATGCCTATTGTAAGAGGCGACTGACGGGATCAGGGCGTCAAACTCGCTGTGTTGGTCGATGCATGTCATCGTATCACAATTGCTTAGATCGATGCTCATGATGTCAATCACTAGATGGCCTTGGTCCAGACTCGATTATACTTAACAGATCGCCGTCATATAGCTGAGATATTTCTGAATGTAGCGCTAAACAACAAACAAACAAAACCTTTACAGAGCAATTTTGTTTAATTCCTGTATTGATTAATAATAGCTCATGTTTCGTATGGTTCCTGTGAAATGGAAAACGAGTAAATATGCAAATATATTTCTCTCAAATGAATGTTTTCAACAGAAGTGGCTAGGGGAAGGTGAATGTTGTTTAACGCCGCAGTCAACATATTTCAGTCCAACACGGCAGCACATAAATAATCGTTTTGGGGCTTCTGGGTCCAGTTGTACAAAGCAATTTTAGCGCTATACGTACAAATTCATTTTACCGTACGCCTATATCCGCCATGTTTGTTTGATGCTACTGGTATAGTTGCAAGCGACAGCGTTACTATTTGAAAACTAGGGCGATAAAGCTTAAAATAAGCAGAAAAATCGTAATCCGTTTGTATTTGTATACTTCGGTAACTAGTTATTATACATTTACTGAAAATATTTAATTCAAGCCGTTGTAAGCTAGGAACTCGTGCACATCCCTTTCCAAAATGGCGGAACGTCTTAGGTGTAATGCATTCTTGCCTAGCGCTTACAGTACGTTTAGTCCAGGTTAAATGGTATTACGAAGGGCTAAGCCCCAATACTGCTTTATGCAAGCGGGCCCTACATGTGTCTAAAAGTGACTCTTACCACAACATCACCCGTGAAGAGCCGGGGTAGAATAGGTCTTCAGCAACCCATGCTTGCCGTATAGGGCGACTGACGGAATCGTATAGTCAGGCTCGCCTACTTGGTTGATATTGGGTCGATGCTCATGATGTCAATCACTTGACTGTCTGTTCCAGACTCGATTATTTGCAGACCGCCGTCATATAGCTGGGCTATTTCTGAGTGCAGCGTTAAACAACAAACAAACAAACAAACAAACTTAGCACAATATGAGTGAATGGGGGAACAAATACCCAGGAATCCACACCAAAGGGATGCACTACTCTTTTATAATGGAAATATTGGGATATGTAAAACTACTTATATATATGTAAAATAATCAAAACTACTTATATATGTAAAATAATCAAAACTACTTATATAAGTAAAATAATCAAAACTACTTATATATGTAAAATAATCAAAACTACTTATATAAGTAAAATAATCAAAACTACTTACATATGTAAAATAAGTAAAACTACTTATATATGTAAAATAAGCAAAGCTACTTATATATATAAAATAAGCAATCATTTTGGTGTATCATAAAGAAAGTATTCCTATCCAAAGATGATTGACATACGCATGGACGCTTAGTTGTCATGTGTACATTCAGTGTCTTACACAACATTATATACTTCGATTATATGCATTATACACACTACTGTTACATTTTCAACGTTTAGCTTGTCCTATCGGGTTACGTCGCCCACTAACGTATGGCAATGAGCTTACATTCTGAATCATATTGACAGCCTTACAGTGGCAGCCAAAGAATTAATTAATTCTAAATTGCTGTACTAATCTCGTATGATATAATATCGGGTGTTGGTTAGTTTCCTAAACATCAGATCCTTCACTCAGTGAGGAGACCGCCTCCGTGGTCTAGTGGTAGAGCGTCCGCCCGGAGAGCGGAAGGTCCAGGGTTCGATCCCCGGCCGCGTCATACAAAAAGACGTTAAAAGATTGAACTTGTTGTTACCCTGTCTGGCGCTCGGCATTAAGGGGCTAAAACAAGGACTGGTCGGCTCAGAGTCAGTATACTGTGTCTGAGTGGGGTATTCATGTTAAACTGCGGCATGGTATCTCAGTGAGCTAGCACTATAAATCGGCATCAGTCCGGACTAGTACAAGCAGCCACACACATACACGTGCATGCACGTCGCTATATAAGTGCAATAATCTTGGACGCGACGTTAAACCCAATTTCACCTCACCTCACCTCACTCAGTGAGGTACATCGTGACGACCTGACAAACAATAGGACGTCCGTTAAAGAGTTCACATGCAGCTCGTTCCCTATGGAAATACGAGAGACGATGTGTATACATCGTAACATAAAATGTTTACATACACAGGCATTAAAACCATATAGAGGGTGTTTCATAGGGCGAGTGAAATATCAAGTTTCTCTCATCTAGTGACGGGGGGGAAAGGAGATATGTTCACGAGTGGCGTACACGAGTGAAGATAACTCCTTTTCCCCCGTCACGAGATATGAGAAACTTCACAGTTCACGAGGCACATCGAATATCCTATTTATGATATACTTTTGGTGTAGTCTACAGGAAAATTAAATAATTTTATTACAAATGTAAAATCTGGAAACGTAAATTCTCCCTACTTCACACACAGTGACGGTTCACCACCCTTGTAATTGCGACTTAAAAAGTAGTTTCGAGTTCAAAATCTTACAAAATATAAACAAAAAGTAACAAAAAATATTTAGGGTCACGAAAATTCTTTATCATACAATTAGATATGATTGTATACAAAATCACCTTCATCAAAAACTATTCTTGAAATCTTCGAGACCGCTGTTTGGAGCGAAAGAATACACGCTCGTCAAGTAACAAAAATGGAGCTAAGCGAAACAGTGTGGATTGATGAGTTAGATGAGAAATTTACAGTTTATAACGGAGCATTTTCAAGAGAATAACAAACGGTAAGAAGCGATATTAACTCCATAAATGACCATCTATCATTATTTTGCCTTGTCATTGTGGAACTAAATATTCCAGCGATATGACGATATCTGCAAATAATGTTGACCAGACAATCCAGTGATTGACATCATAAGCATCTATCTTCGCAATTGGGATACGATGACATGCATCAACCAAGTCAGCGAACCTGACCACCCGATCCCGTTAGTCGCCTCTTACGACAACTATATAGTTGCATTTTACGACAAACATGGGTTAATGTCCTGAAGACCAATTCCAACCCGGATCTTCACGGGTTGTATGTGCATGGTATTGAAAACTCACCTTTTGTATTGTTATGGTTGAAATAAGGGGACATAAACGTTTCATAGATATTTTAAAAAAAAGAAGACAAATAAGCATGGCCATGGCGCTTTAACGACCTTGAACTGCAGGGTGCAAAATGAGAGTTTTTTTCCCGTCTACCGCCTATACTTATATGTTGTGTCTATCGGGTACGCTACTATTTCAGAACATTCAGTAGGTGCGCCAATGAATAGAGTTAGTGAGTGCGTTTTACTCTGCTTTTAGCAAAATTCCAGCAATATCACAGCCCAGAAATAAGAAATAAGACACACTGTACCCTTGTTGTTTAACCACAAATAAAAAAACATCCCCAACCCCGTGTAAATACAAACATAACACGGACTTATACTTCCTTCTCCACTCCAATCCTGAATCGTAACATATAGCCTTGACCTACAATGCCAAGTTCACACACTATCTACACTCAGGTTTTTTTAAATCATGCTATTTATCCTCTTTGAATGCATCTGTATCACAGCTGGTTCATCATTGCTATATTTGAATAAATAAGAACAGTAATCGACGTTGCATAGACATTTCTTGTACTCTCTGGTCTCTCTTTTACAAATCACGCTCAAATCGCTGGGTATGTGTACCCACCGGCCATGATAGTCCGAAGTCCTCCCGTGGGGACCCGGGTAAGAACAGGTCCCCAGCAACCAATGCCGCTTGAGGCAGCTGAGCTATGGAAACGTTGCTGGGTGACGCGTTAGACAACACACTTTCAAGCGAGCCCTGTGTCGCTTGTCACATATACACGTAAGGTTAAAAAACATGTCACATACGGTACAATCTCATAAACTCGAGGGGCGGTCGGGTAGCCTAGTGGTTAAAGCGTTAGCTCGTCACGCCGAAGGCCCGGGTTCGATTCCCGACATGGGTACAATGTGTGAAGCTCATTTCTGGTGTCCCCCTCCGTGATATTGCTGGAATATTGCTAAAAGCGGCGTAAAACCGAACTCACTCACTTGATGTTCTGGAGATCATTAATTATATCGAGTTTTCCATTCTTCCATTCGATTACGAATCTACCGAGACCTTTACGTTACATGGCCCAGTCATATAAGGCGCCACAATAACTGGTAACCATGGGTTACAATCCCGATTGGACCTGATAATGTTTCTTGGTTTGTCAGCACCATACCCACCCATTGGGTTTCACCAAAGTGGTAAACGTCCAAGACCTGCATCACTTAAGGTTTTCCTCCCAAATCACACGCCGTGATATGACTCAATACTTTAAAAGCGTCGTTAAACGCACTCACTCACTCACTCACTTAAGACAACATCCATTCTAGGTGAGGTGGAATGGGGTATAACATCGTGTTCAAGATTATTGCACTTATATAGCGACGTGCATGCATGTGTGTGTGTGTGTGTGTGTGTGTGTGTGTGCTAGTTGGACTAATGTCGATTTATAGTGCTAGCCCACTGAGATACCATGCCGCAGGTTTACATGAATCCCCCACTCAGACACAGTATACTGACTCCGAGCTGACAAGTCCTTGTTTAAGCCCCTGAATGCCGAGCGTCAGACAGGGTAACAACAAGTACCATCTTTTACGTCTTTTGGTTTGACGCGGCGGGGGATCGAACCACCAACCTTCCGCGGAAGCTCTACCACTAGACCACGGAGGTTGTCGCTCCCATCCTTTCAAGCAATATATATCTTGCTAATGAATTTGGAATTAACGTTGGTTGGTTGGTTGGTTTGTTGTTTAACGCCACACTCAGCAATATTCCAGCTATATGACGGCGGTCTGTAAATAATCGAGTCTGGACCAGACAATCCAGTGATTGACATCATGCGCATCGATCCACGCAATTGGGACCAATGGCATGCATCAACCAAGTCAGCGAGCCTGACCACCCGATCCCGTTAGTCGCCTTTTACGACAAGCATAGTCGCCTTTTACGGCAAGCATGGGTTGGAATTAACGAGGTTCCAAAAGATGGAATACTTATCATTCGGTATAGATATAGGACAACGCTGTTTTCACAACGGAATCTATCAGTAAACTGTAAACAAGTGTGATGTATATGAGTGAGGGGAAAGACGGAGTAGATAAACGGACGGACGAACACGTTAACAAAGAAATATGTAACACATTTTACACAAGAAAATTAAGTATTTGTAGTTCATCTCGGTGCAACCGTCCACAATTGTTAACATCTGTAATGCCAGATCTTATCAAAGTATATGACATGTCGAATGTTATATCTTCCAATGTATACAGCCATAGTGACTTGCACAAGTCTATATAGAAATGATTATTATTTTAATTCCTTATTCCGACTTCCTAGATTATACAAATAATATACCAACTGGTCATTATAAAAAAAAACACACACACTAGTATCCTTATACTGTCGGCTTACATAGACTTGCCGATTATAAGGATAGAAATACTATCCATCCATGGACTTATCATTCAGTACAGCCTTGGAGCAAGTCTAACAGTCCTGTTATACCATGAAGTTACATATTAGACTGTGACGTATGGTTACTATCGTTTCTGCGCTCACCCGATGTTGCGTCACTTGAACTTTGATATCGCCTGACACTATGATCACATCCTTCGCGCAAGTAGTGAGTGAACGGAAGAGGAAACATGGAAATCCCCATCTATAAAAAGCATAAATCGTCACACATACATTACTGGGGCTCATTGATGAATGTTATGCCCAAATACTCAGACATTGTATTACCGAAAGTACTTCAATAGAGCAAGTGAAATCATTTTAAGTGTTTAACTTCAGATTTGAAAGCGTTGCGCATAAGGGACGTAACTCTGCATAGCTTATTGCCGCTCCCATAGCATAGAGGTTACATAAGACTGAACATGTGTGAATAGCCTCATATTACAGCTGCTCTAAAATCACAAAATCACACGAAGGAAAGGATCAAGAAATAATTGGTAATAAAGAAATGATTACCCTCGCATGAGTGTCACAATGATTTTACAAAACTCGTGTAAGAAGTCATGTATTACCCGCGCTCTCGCTCGGGCAATACAAGAATTCCGTCACTCGTTTCGTGAAATGACACACATTCTCGCATAATGTTGTCTATTTACTGTTTACAAACTGAAGCACAGGGGATGTTTATGTGTCTAAAACAGACATTTTCCAATGACAATGGGAAGGGGCGGGGGATGAAACAATGACTGTTGTATTTTTTCAAATACAAAAGTTATAAATTTAAACATTATTTCGTGACAGGTCATTCATTATTGGGGGGTGGGGGTCGGGGTGGGGGAGTTCGGGGTGTCATGATAAAATATTACATGAATATGGGGTGAGAAAAGTTACATTAAATGGGAGGATGGGGGTTCAGCTAAATATGATACAAAGTCTCCCACCGCCCCACCCCCAACGTAAATGAGAGGTTACATCTATAGCATTTATAAGCACACAAACCAGGATTTTAATGCATCTTCTTATATTTTTCCTATCCAAATCGAACTCGACTAACAAAATCCTTAAAATTAGTTTTTCGACCTAGCGACCAAATGTTACTCTTTCAAATCCGTAAGCCAAAAACAATGTCAGCTACTCTAAGCATGAAACGAGGTCATGCTTCAGTATAGATAGATAGACAGGGTAACAACAAGTACCATCTTTTAACGTCTTTTGGTATGACGCGGCCGGGGATCGAACCCCGGACCTTCCGCTCTCCCGTGTTGAAGAAAGACGCCAGTAAAGGGCGGTTTTCCAGTTATATCACGTAACGTGGGAGGAAAGTCGGAAGTAATGCAGGTCTGCAGATGTCACCACTTGGCAACGAATGGAGGGGAGGGGAAATGATTGAATGTTTCTCATCAATTCCAGATTTAAAAAACGGCAAGGTGACGAGGCTTTTTAATTTTTAATTTTTTAAAATTATTTTTTGTTTTTTTTGTATGTTTGGTTTTTTTGGGGTTTTTTTTTTGGGGGGGGGGCTTTATCTCATTTTTGTGAAAGAAAAGCAGACAACCAAAGACACTAAAATAAGAGGATGTAGTATGTTGTAGACACAACCCCCCACCCACTCCTTCCCTCACGCACACACACACACACAGACACACACACACACACACACACATACACACACTGAGAGAGGGTCTTGTTATTGGCATCCTCCCTTTAAACAAATGCTGGAGCCGCCCTTGAGCCGACCAGTCCATGTTTTAGTCCCTGCCGAACACCGGGCACCACCTCCTAGCGTCTTCAGTTGGTATGACGACTATATGTACTTAGTATGTGATACATACCTGACGCAGCACGTGCAGGTATTCACAGGGTATAACAATAGATAATGTTTACCACACCGATCTTCTTACTCTACATGGTGGCGATAAAACAGAAAGTCGCCTTGACGTCACGCACTGAGATGAGCGCATTCGGATCCACTCGGCCTATTCCGCTACCTTCGCTTAAGAAAAGCTTTAGTCAGAAATCGAACAACAGTTATATAAAAGTGAGTGAGTGAGTGAATATTGCTTAACGCCGCATCAGCAATTTTGCAGCTATTCGCGGCGACAGTTATATAAAAGTCACATCTGCCGCCAGATAGTTTTGTGTTATGTGATAGTGATATGAACAGGTGCAGCTTCAGGTCCGTAGGTAAAAAAATAAGATTATAACAATTCCAATTTTAGATATATATATTCAAGCACAAGACAATGTACCGGCATCTCCTACGAGTTTTTTTATATTATTATTATTATTATTTACATGATCAAAAATAACGTATTGATAGTGATCTCGCCAATATTTTTTTATTATTTTAATTTTAATTTTGCATACACTGCTTTTCGATTAAAGAAAATCACATTTCAAATTTTTATAGCCGGATTCGTTTAAAAGGTCTAGACTGTGCGAAAATATCAAACAAAATAGATATATCATCATAACTATTTGTAGAATGGTTACATCATGACTAGACATGATACGTATTCATTCCAAGAAGTCCGAGTTTGCTGAACTATGGGAAATATATGTGAAATTACTAAAAAGTCGAGATGTAAATCATGAAATAAAAACAGGGAATTGAATGTGTAGTTTCATCTAGAGAAGAGCCCTTGAGAATAAGTCGTTTTGAAAGTAGTATGTTACGACAATATATTCAAAATGGCGGCGCCCATGTTGTTGTCTGCTGTCATGTCGAGAAAATACTTCTGTGGAGTTATTTTAGGTTAGATTTCAAAATAGATCATTTCTGACAAAGGCATTGTGATTGTGAAAGGATGTGATTAGTGACACTTAAACACACACACTTGTATTGCTATATTTGATTAGATATGTCACGTAAATGTTCCCCAGTTACCTTATTTCGTGATGTAGATAAACTGGAATACTCCGAATAGTCATTGTCATAAATAAGTGAATCAACAATATTTAATACAGTACACGGTTCGCCAATAGTTAGTGTAATGTTGGTTAAAGGCACCCATCCACCACACTTTTATTATATTAACAGTAGCATGTGGCAGTCAATAATTAATTGATAGTAGATACACTGTGCTGGTGATGTTATGTTATTTGGGAGCTAGATATAAACATGGTAAAGACAAGTCGGTATAACCTACCTAATGCTACGTAATTAAAATCTATGGGTACCCCCTACTCCGCAAACACCTGCCCCAAAATTTGAAAAGAACCATAACCCCTGCCTAGAAGTATTATAAAGTCATGTATGTTCGCTTAGGTTGCCATTATTTTTAAGCCAGGGTTACCAGTGAAAATCTTTCCATTCATTAACGGCAAGCTTCACTAGATCATGATTTCCTCAGTTCCTCAAAGTATTTACTTATCATGGTCAGGCCATTTTTATATATTTTTAAGTTTTGTTTTTTATTGTGAAAAAATCCAGGTCGATAGGATCGAAGAATATGAAAGACACAGATTCTAGGTTCCAAGAGTTATTTGAATATGTTTTCATGTAAGCAGTGTGATATAGGCCTACTGTGTTCTATACATGTTTTTTCCTCATATTTTGTGTTAAGGGGCTTACATTTTTCTTCCACTATGTTCATTACCCTATCATGTTTAAAAAAATCCGTAAACAATTACAGAAAGTCTTGCCTTTAGTATCGGTGTATTTGGGCTGTAAAGATGAGCAGTATAGATGCATCAAGATACTTGTGATGCAACTTGCAATTATTGTGAGGCCATGAAGCATATTTAATGATATGAACATGAACAGCAAAATGCTATTTGCTAACATATCCAAAATTTCACTTCTAGAGTCATTGTTAACACAAGCATACTGACTACTGTATTGGACCTCATTCTTTTTTTATGAGCCTATGGGGACCTAAAGGATCGGCTGGTCACACTCCATTCTTAGTTGATTGCGTGTCATCGTACCCTCATGTTCAGTGCACACAATATTAATCACTGGATAGTCTGGTCCAGACTCAATCATTTACAGGCTGTGTGATATAGCTAGAATAATGCAAGTGTAGCATTAAATTAACTTAAATAACAAACAACAGTTTGATAATAGAATACAGTTCCTCATTTCATACTGTATTACAACCTAAATTAGTGATCATGCGGAAAGTGATACTATCAAATATAGCTTATATCATATTGCCACCAAAAGTGTAAGGTTCCTTTAGTGTAATAATAATTAATGGATTACTCAATATAATTATGGGGGCACGGGTGGCTCAGTCGTCTAAGGCGCCGCGATTCGCTGTGCAGAGTTGTGACCCTTGGACACGCCAGAAACCTATGATTGTGGGTTCGAATCCCGGTTCGCCCCGAAATTATGTTTCTAGGTTTGTCAGCACCATACCCGTGCTTGTGGGTTTCACCGTAGTGGTAAACGTCTGAGACCTGCATCACTTTGGGCTTTCCCCCCACATTAAGCTGACACGCCGTGATATAACTGGAATACTGTTAAAAACGGCGTTAAACCCAACTCACTCACTCACTCAATATAATTATGGACTTATCTATACCTGGAGGCTGATATTCAGCCCTAAATATGCACCAAATGTCAATAAACATTCCCAAATTGGATTTAGGTTTTTCCAAATTCATGCTGTTATGTTTATAATGTTTATAACTATTTGGCTTTGTAAGATGACTTGTATTTCACTGGTAACAGAACCATTATAAAGGAATGGTCTTTTATGCTTAGTCTAACAATAATGCATTGAATGCAGTGTTAAAATACAATGAATTTAGGAAATTAAGAACTTGAACAAAAAAAACTAAAATCCAAATTATGCCTGCCAAGGGCACTTAGTTTGGAATCCTAGATAAATTCTTGCATTAATGATTGATTCCTGTTGAATACTGTTTTTATAACATGCCAAGGCATTTCATGCCCTGAGATCAATGGTAAACAATTAGTGTTCAGAAATGCATATAGATGCAATTATATCACAGGCTACACTAGCTTAATCCTAAGATACATACCTCAACACAAATATTAATTTTTAAACTTATCCTATCTCACACTGTGCATTTCTTCCTTCTTCAATCCTTGTGTGGAAACATCCTATCACCATAGCCACCACCATAAATGGGTCATGCACCACTGCAATCCCATGCGACCTGATCACCTGACATTCTCTACATCCTCATTCTCTTTTCTAATCACCTGTTGGATAGGACATACTTGAACAGAATACATTTTGGGTTGTTGTTTTTTAGGAGAGGGATTTTCTGTCTCTCTCAATAACAACCACTGAAGATATAATTACGACTAGAGTAAATGGAATCGGCATGCTCACTTTGTACGGGGCACATGTTCTATTAATAAATGCTGACAGTTATGTTGCCAACTTTCCAAGACAGATTTTAAGACCTGCTAGCATTCAGTGGATCAACCCTCCACGGATTCGTTGAAGGATCCTGAGTACGGATCACAGTCAGCCGAGAAACTGAAGCGAACAGTTCTCTCCAACATGTCCAATGTGGTTGTACCTCCCTCCTATTCTCACAAGACCAAGTCATAAACCATCCCCAACGAAGTGGCAACTGCATCCATAGATCTTTCAATGGATTTGCCAACTTCTTCGAATTCCAGTCCTCGACCTTCGCAACCCGTTTCATCGCACAGTTGCCAAAGGTCATCTCCCCCATACCGAGCCAACAGGCATGGGATCTCAATGCAAGCGCGATCTCATGGGAAGGTTCCAACACCTATTCATATCCTCCAACGGGTCTTCTACATCAGATGTTTCTGGAGATCTGACACAGTGTTTGCTCCCAATTACATGTACCTTTGAGACGTCTTGGTCGCCGATGTCCAGGGACTTCATCAGTCATTCATCATCACCTCTTGTTGTCCTAGCAACTGACAGCAGCCCGTTCTAGTGCTGATGAAGATACCAGCATGATACAGTCCCGCCTCTTTTATCCTGTACATACAGCAATAAATACTTCACGGTATTTTATTTTTTGTTATTCTTCCATCGAGTTCCCAGAGGGAGGGTATATATACTTGTCAGTAGAGTCTTATGTCTACTTCATAGATAGCCCTCCGGTGTGCACATTTGCTTAATTCATGTCCCAATCTTCTGTCTGATCACCTCTGTCTTTGTGCACATGATGTACCCATATGGTTATTGTCGATCGTTTCCTCATCTTGTTCTTAGCGTACCCATTCACTCCAGTTGTGATTGATAATTTTGGCGAAGCATCAAAAGAGATGCCAAGCTTGTCCACCTTACGTTCACTGGATCATATGTGTGAGGTCTGTCTTGTAGAACGTACTGGCCAGGGAAGCAGTGTTTGTAAAAGAACACTGACTCTTATATGTGGTGAGGTTAAAGTGGTGGCTGAATAGACTTTGCCTAGTTCAAAGTTCGCGGTCTTTCATTAGATCGGCGGTATTGTGACAAACCACAGAACACATGACTTACACAGGTCATATTGTTCGTATCACAAAGGGGCTGCACAAGAAGCAACCCATACACCAGTTCCTTATTCATCACTAAGTTTTGTGACAATCATTGGATTTAAGAGTAGTTTAGAACCAGATTCCTTGTGTACGTCTCACAGTTGAGGTCTTAATACAGGCTATATTGCTGGAATATTGCTAAAAATGGCGTAAAACCATACTCACTCACTCACTTAATACAGGCTAGGGTATCTGCGACCACCATCCAACCGTGGGATAATAGCATAGTGTGAGATAGAATAAGTCTTAAAATTAGAAAGTTTGACAATACATTGTGTATTTTATGCTTATCCTATTCAACATGCTAAACACCCACTCAACCATCCCCACATCACAGTTACACCAGACTGTATGCTCTTGAAAGAGGGTGAGGGTGCAGGGAATGTCAGGTGATCAGGTCGCACAGCGTCGTATGGCACGGGATTGCAGTGGTGCATGAGGCATTATTTAAGGTGGTGACTGTGGGGATGTAGGGGATGGTTAAGGTGGTTTTTGAAGCTGGGAACTTTGTTCTATGACGTTTCCACACCAGGATCGAAGAAGAAAAGAAAATGCATTGTGTGAGACAGGATAAGTATGTAAACATACAATTTATTGTAAAATTTTCAATTTCACAGTTGTCTTTTTATTTCATTGCAGTGTTATTGTGTTTGAACGCAGTGAAATCACAAACAGAAGAATTAACAGACAGTACAAACACTGACAAAAAAGACAGTGAAGATCTCTCTAATAAAGGAGATGTCAAACTGGAAAGTGTATTTGAATCAGTAGTTAAAAAAAACCAAGACGTACAGGATAGTACAGGCACTAATGATAATAGCCAATCAGAAACAAAGACACAAACTGATCAACCAATCGATGAAGAGGATTCAAGTGAAGATGGAGAAAGTAAGCTTTTCTCTTTAACTAGTGTAATCAAAACACTTCTTAACCCAGTCATCGGGGAGTTCCAGGTGGGGAGTGAGGAGGAGACAGAGAAGGAACCTCTGCCTGAGGTTGTGGAAACAGTCACTCCGAACGTCACGGTGGAAGCTACCAATGTGACTGCCAGTGATAACAGCTCAGCAAAGAATGAAACGGACAGCAGTAAAAAGTACAAGTTCCAGTGTATTGGGAGGAATGTAACAGAGAACACCACACTGGAAGTGAGACTTGTGAACAGTTCCACGTTACTGGAGGTGCTAAGTTTTGACAAGAATCGGACGACTGGTGACTGTGTTCTTGTCATGTTTTATGCCCCCTGGTGTCAGTTTTGTGCGAAGACAGCACCGCACTACAACGCTCTGGCAAGAGCCTATCCTCAACTGGAGGTCCTAGCAGTGGATGCTGTCCACTTCAGCAAGTAGGTCATGGTGTAATTATTTGTTAAAGATGCTAATGTTTGTAATGCTGAAGCTATACATGGTAAACCCTATTTCAACACTTTATTTTGAGACTTCAATTAATGCTTGAAAGTAAGGATGGTAAGTGCAGGTGTACGTGATGTTTCAGCACTATTCGGATATTCCCTCATGGGGATTCTGGCTAAGGATAAACCCCAGCAGCCTGGTCAGAAAATTACTTGCTTGATTGGATGTCATCAAACTCCGCCAGCGTGGGACTTCGCTCATAATATCAATCACTGCTTTGTTCGGTCCAGACTCGAATATTTACCGTCCACCGTCATATAGATGGAATATTGTTGTGTACCGGTAGCATGTTAAACAATAAACAAATTAAATGCTATAGCAGCATGCATCAAGGTCCCAATACCCCCTATAATTTAGTACACCACACACAATATTCTTGCTCAATGTTTAAGTTGTGTTTTTTTATTGTTGATATTGTGTGATCATTACTATAACTTCCTCTGCAGCCTGAACGCCAGGTTCGGTACAGTAGCAGTGCCGAATGTGATGCTGTTCCACCAGTCGCGATCAGCTGTCCGATTCAACCACACAGAGAGAGTGTTCCATTCATTCATCCAGTTCATTAAAAATGTCACAGGTATGTTCTTTTATAAATCATGCTTACCTGTCAAAAGCTTATATATTTTTTACATAATTAGTATTGAGGTCTAATAGCCATGATAACATGAATATTAAGCTTATAATTTTCAATGTTATATCGTCCTAATGTATCTTATCTGAAACACCTAGGCCATGTCCCTCAAAGTGATTATAGCTCTACACTCAAAAGTGTACATTAAGATAACGCATTATAGTAGTCTTGTGCCACAAACACTGTGGATCAAGGCCCTTTTAGCTTAGGTTCAGCAACTCATTATTTGTTAGTGCGCAGCAGGAAACACTCTTTATCAAAGCATTGAATACAATGCTTGTTTTGGGAAAATCACAGTGTATTCCAATCATATTTTGATGTGACACTTCTCACACTGTGCCAAGTAATGTCCCTTAGCTGAACCAGGATTCGATGGTTGTTGGTTCGAATCCCAGATTATTGATAAAGATGTTTATTCTGTCAGCATCATGGGTTGCACCCTGGAAGCAGCCTCAGCCTGCACATGTTTGGGCTTTTCTCCCACTTTTAGCTTACATGCTGTGATATGATTGAAATACTGCTGGAACCACCACTGGTCACACCCCTTGATGTTCTGTCACTACCTTCTCCCTGTTACCACAAATTGACTGGGAACAAGTATGTGTGATACATTGCACCCGATGGATCTTTTGCCTAAATAAAAGCGATCTTGATCTCTCCGTCCGTAAGTGAACACCTGCTGCAAGTTCCTGAAACCCGCTTGAAGAATTTTGGCCAAAGATCTTTCAAATACTTAGGAGCAATGTTCCAACAGAACTTAACCTCCCACCATCACTCCCATCATTTCAGGCACATTTAAGAACTTTTTCAAACAACACTATCCGGTCTTAGTGGGACACCCTGCTCCCATCCTCTACTTTTTCCTTGCTGTAGCATAGCCTGCTACAACGTATGTAGTGCCATGAGCATGAACTTGGTGATGGAACCTGGTGCATTTACATGGATTTATTATTATTATTAGGCCTGGAGCCCAACACGACTGTGAATGTGACAGAGGGGGACTTCCAGGGCCCTCTACCCAGTGTCCCCACAGAGGACCCCGACTATCTGCTGTGGATGGCGTGGGTGTTTGTCCTCATCTGCAGCAGCTACATCTTCGTCAACAGTCAGTACGGCCAACAGTCCATCAACAGAGTGCGAGTGCTGTGGCAGGAACATCAGCACATAGAGTGATGGCTGCCGCAGAGCGGGGTACATCAGGGTGGGATGAGAGTGACAGCCTCTAGGGCATGTACATCAGTTGAATGAGTGGCAAAGTAACTAGTCTGTGTACAGGGGTTGAATAAGTGTGACAGCCTCCATGGTTGGTGCACATCGGTTGAATGAGAGTGACAGCCTCCATGGGCATGTACATCGGTTGAATGAGAGTGACAGCCTCCATGGGCATGTACATCGGTTGAATGAGAGTGACAGCCTCCATGGGCATGTACATTGGTTGAATGAGAGTGACAGCCTCCATGGGCATGTACATCGGTTGAATGAGAGTGACAGCCTCCATGGGCATGTACATCGGTTGAATGAGAGTGACGGCCTCTAGGGCGTGTACATCGGTTGAATGAGAGTGACAGCTTCCATGGGCATGTACATCGGTTGAATGAGAGTGACAGCCTCCATGGGCATGTACATCGGTTGAATGAGAGTGGCGGCCTCTTGGGCATGTACATCGGTTGAATGAGAGTGACATCTTCCATGGGCATGTACATCGGTTGAATGAGAGTGACGGTCTCCATGGTTGGTGTACATCGGTTGAATGAGAGTGACGGCTTCTAGGGCATGTACATCGGTTGAATGAGTGTGACAGCCTCCATGGGCGTGTACATCGGTTGAATGAGAGTGACGGCCTCAAGGGAGTGTACATCGGTTGAATGAGTGTGACGGTCTCCATAATTGGTGTACATCGGTTGAATGAATGTGACGGCCTCCATGGGCGTGTACATCGGTTGAATGAGTGTGACAGCCTCCATGGGCGTGTACATCGGTTGAATGAGTGTGACAGCCTCTAGGGCGTGTACATCGGTTAAATGAGAGTGACAGCCTCAAGGGCGTGTACATCGGTTGAATGAGTGTGAGCGTCATCATCAGTCCATACAATACCATTTTACTTCTGACACCCAGATGGAATGTTCTTAGAATCAAAGCCAAATGTTATAGCTCACCTATATAGCTTATAGCGTACTTGAGGAATGGCTCATCTATCTGTCAAATCTGTTTTCTTAAGAACCATTTACTAACTGATAAACAGCTTCATGATTTTAAGTCACTAAACATCGGTATCTGGAGTTATTATATTTATATTTTTAAGTTGGCCAGTGGGCAATATTTAATTAAGATTTTATTTAGCTGATTTAACATTGTTTTCTTTTGTTTGTTTTTCTTGTTATGAACATGATGATTAATGATGATGTAAATAATTCCTTGAACACAGGGTACATTGTGAATTGTGTCCTTTGTAAAGTACTTTCACTGCCAGCTGTACCTCCAATGATTGAAAGCCAGACATTGATGTGTCCCAGATCCACAATACAATTGGTTGGTGCTACTAGATGGACAGGGGTGAGGAATGGGGCAGGTCCCTGTATGGCTGATCTGTTGGGTCAGATAAAGGTAGTGTACATAATGTGTCACCTTTTCCACCCCTGGATCATGTTGAATGGATTCTTCCTATTTGCTTCTAATCAGGACAGTGGTTGGGGTACACATCAGTATAGCATGTTAGGCAGCAATGATAGCTTTTTGTTAGGATGGACCTTAGTTTAGTTTTTTGAGTTTTCGTGCTTGTTGTGATTTTTTTGTCAAGAGCTGTGCCCCTTTTCGCAAAACGATCTCAACGCTACAACAATTGTAAGCCAATGTTAAAGTATAGGACTTACGATCACCTTAGCGTTACTATCGCTTTGGGGAACTGGGCCCTCCTTGGTAAATCCTGACAACATATTTTTATTTTCCTTCCTGAATCTCGATCTACCTTGCATATAGCTCATGAAATGGTGTAGAACCATGAAAGAATGGCCTTTTGTTATACTGCCTCCATAGTGTAGTAGATAGAATGTCAGCCTGGAGAGCAGAAGGTCGGGGTTCGATTCTAGTCACCTCATACCAAAAGACATTAAAAGAAGGTACTTGTTCTTAGTCTGCCTGTGCTCGGCATTAAGAGGCTCAAACAAGGATTGGGCATCTCGGAGTCAGTATACTGTGAATCAGTGGGGTATTCATGTTAAACTGTGGCATGGTATCTCAGTGGGCTAGCACTATAAAGCTGGCATTAATATGGACTAGTACACGCAGCCACAAACCCATGTGTATGCATGTTGCTATATATGTGCAACAATCTTGAACACAGCATTACACAAATTCCTGTTTTATCCGTGACAATGCTAGAATATTAGATTGTAAGCAACATTTTTGTTGTTGAACGATTAACTATCCTGGGCCCCGTTCCACAAAGTGATCTTAGCGCTAAGTCGATCGTAACTCCCATTTTTTAACACTGACTTATGACAATCGTAGTGCTAAGATCGCTTTGTGGAACGGGGCCCTGCCTCCTCACACAGCAGCCTGTTGGCATTGAGACGCCTATGTTTGGAATCCGATTAATATTTTAGATCAGTCCACAGAGGTTCACCTTGTTCAGGGGACTGGGACATGTGTGGCCAACTCCCTGGACCCATATTCCTGAAATAAAACATCATAAGTCTATGTTGAAGTATGGGAGTTACAATCATCTTAGTGCTAAGATCACTTTGTGGTCCCTTGGCCCACTTGTACAAGCGGTCTTTGCACTACTGCTATCACAAGGCTATGTTGAGGTATTGGAGTAACAATCATCTTAGTGCTAAGATCACTTTGTGGTCCTGGGCCCACTTGTACAAAGCGGTCTTTGCACTACTGCTATCACAAGGTCCTGGGCCTACTTGTACAAAGCGGTCTTTGCACTACTGCTATCACAAGGCTATGTTGAGGGATTGGAGTTACAATCATCTTAGCACTAAGATTACTTTGTGGTCCTGGGCCCACTTGCACAAAGCGGTCTTTGCACTACTGCTATGTTGAGGTATTGGAGTTACAATCATCTTAGCACTAAGATTACTTTGTGGTCCTGGGCCCACTTGCACTACTTTGCTCTACTGCTATCATAGTGAGTGAGTGAGTAAGTTGTGTTTAACACCGCTTTTAACAGTATTACAGTTATATCGCGGCACGTCAGCTTAATGTGGGGAAAAGCCCGAAGCGATACAGGTCTCAGATGTTTACCACTTCAGTGAAACCCACAAGCACGTGTATGGTGATGACAAACCTAGAAACATCAGAACCCGAGATTCCAACCCACAATCATAGGTTGTGGCGTGACCAAGGGATGCATCTCTGCACAGCAAATTGCGGCACCTTTGACGACTGGGCCACCCGTGCCCTCTTACAACTATCATAAGGCTATGTTCAAGTATGGGAGTAACGACCACCTTTGCGCTAAGATCACTTTGTGTCCCTGGACCCACTTGCACAAAACAATCTTTCCACTACAACCATCATAAAGATCTCTTGAAGTATAGGAGTTACGATCATCTTGGCAATAGGATTGTTTTGTGGAACATGGCCCTGTAACTTAGCATTTATTGGTGGAAGTACGGCAGCCTTCAGTTAAAAAATATTCTTGCTGCAATTTACCACCTCATGTAATATGGGATATTGTCCAGGACCCATTCCACACAGCAATCTTAGCGCTACAATAGTCATAAGCCAATGTTGAATTTTGGGAATTACGATCACCTTAGCACTAAGATAGCTTTGGGGAACAGGACTCTGGACCCATTCCACACAGCAATCTTAGCGCTACGACTGTCATAAGCCAATGTTGAAGTATGGGAATTATGATCACCTTAGCGCTAAGATCGCTTTGTGGAACGGGGCCATGGACCCATTCCACATGTTGATCTTAGTGCTATGACTGTCATAAGCCAATGTTGAAGTATGTGAATTATGATCTTGTTAACTCTAAAGTCGCTTTATGGAATGGGGCCCTGCTGTAATAGCATATTGTCCTGCAATAGAAGTTTGATTTTGTTCTGTGTGGTTTTCAAATAGATCTCATATCCTGTAATTGCAGTCAATTAATGTCCAACAGTGAAACTCTGTTGAAAGAATTTGTTATTAGTTGTGGGTGCTGGTCAATTAGCCACATTTACAAATAAATTGTTTTACTTATTGTGTGCCCCTGTGGGGGTTCTGTGTTTCACTGGGTCCCCAGCAACCTATCCTTGTCATACAATGTGACTTGATATATCCTGTGGCCAGGCTCCTTGTGTGATGTCTATTGCTGTGACAGCAGTTCAACTCCCACCCCGCGGTCTGGTAGCACCTGACCCTGAACCCATCATGCACCTGGCACGTCATGACAAAGGCAGCCGCGATGAGCACCAACTGTTGGATGTAATCAGGACGATACTCACGGGGTCATTCTAACCAGTTACAAATATTGAATGTTATGCATGATTAATATGCGGGTGTACACGACCGACTGCTGACATCATTATCATTGTGCATTTAGACTACTTCATTCAATTCTAAGTTGTGGTAAGGTATTTGTTCCCCAATACTGCTGGAAAATATCAGACCATCCTCAGGTTTTATTCCAAAATAACCCTCACAGGACATGCTTTGAAACAAAATTGGGTCTTCCCTCCCCCCCCCCCCCCCCCCCCCAAGAAAAAATAAAAATATCTGACTCTTCCTTTCAGAGAAACTGATGTATGCCTTGAAGAGTTGACTAAGAACACACAAATCTCAGTAATTGTGTTTTGATGACGCCTGGTCTATGAAGTCATTAATATTCATTAATATTCCAGGGTTTTAGATCAGTTCATCTTCTAGGACAGGGACTGATTGTTATCCAAAATGTTCTAAAGATATTTTAAATTTTTGTTGATGGTATAAAAGTGTCCTTATGACATTGGTCTCTAGCAAAATCATTGAATACATTTAATATTATAGACATCTGGAATCACTGTTATCGTTTATATGCTTATGATCATTAAGGAACTGCAAGCTCATTGAAGGCTCTACACATAGTGCTGGGCACTTTGGTCATCAACCTGGGTTATTCAGTGTACCACATCTCCATTCTATTACCAGAAATGTCATCCTGGAACGGAGATGTAATAATACGCTGGATAATCACCGTTAAATTGGCTAGAGAAAGTTGGCTTATATAGTGAACAAGAAAAAAAGAATTTAACGGTCAGGAATATTTTGGGGAATTATTTGTTGTGAAGACTGAGCACAATTTAGTAAAAATATCCCAGAAATATTCATGATCCCTAACATGTTTTGTTCCGTATACATTAAACATGTCTATTCATATAAGTTATCCCAGGGGCGGTCGGGTAGCCTAGTGGTTAAAGCGTTCGCTCGTCACGCCAAAGACCCGGGTTCTATTCCCGACATGGGTACAATGTGTGAAGCCCATTTCTGGTGTCCCCCGCCGTGATATTGCTGGAATATTGCTAAAAGGGGCGTAAAACTATACTCACTCACTCACTATAAGTTATCCCCTGTACACATCATACCATGGTGTTAGACGTGGTCAAGAAACAGTGCTGGTGAGATTGTAACGGACTTCACGAGAGACAATTCTGTATTATTTTTAAGACTGATCGGTCTTAGGATATGAACCCACTGAAAACCCTTTGTTATGTAACAACCCACACGATCTTTATCATATTGGATACACATAAAGTCTGTTTGAGCAGAGCAAAATTAACGGAATTTTCTTTTTGGTTTTGGGGTATATTATGCCATTTTGTCAGCAGGATATGCGTTAAGATTTATGATGAAATAATACTTTGCAAGGTGCTGAATGTGTCAAAATTATTATTTTGCAATTAATATTTTTGTGGTGAAACATTAAGGTGTATAAGGTGTTTTTTTCCAATGTCAGAAACTGGATTATTCTTTTAGATCTAATCATGCTAATCAACCTGATCGTGCTGTTTGTCAAATAGCGAGTGTTATTAGGCAGATTGTATATGTTATGTATGATGTGATGTTTAAGTCCGTGGGGGTACAAAGTACACAATATGTTTATCTCATGTCAATGTCTAGCGGTAAGTGTTTTCTATGTGATTTTCCACAAGTATGAGTTTGATATGGATTTGGACATACAGTTATGTTATCCTCACCAGGTATTCATCATTCATGAGCAGTTACATTGTACACTTTTATACAACATCCAATCTTGTTATAATTAGAGGGATGGTGGGGTAGCTTAGTGGTTAATAGTGGAATATTGCTAAAAGTGGCATCGAACCATACTCACTCACTCACTCACTCACCACTCACTCACTCACTCACTCACTCACCCACTCACTCACTCACTCACCCACCCACCCACTCGTTCACTCACTCACTCACTCACTCACTCACCCACTCACCCACTCACTCACTATAATTTGATCTTACTCCAATTTCATACCTCTCTGTTTGAATCAGAAAGGAATTGTATCGGAGTGAAAGATTTCATCACACATCAAACACCAGTGTACTATATAACATCACACATTATACATCACATGGTAGTGAGTGGGTGTGTTGGGTTTAAAGCTGCTTTAAACAGTATTCCAGTTATATCACGGCATGTCAGTTTGATGTGGGAGGAAAGCCCGAAGTGATGCAGGTCTCAGACATCACATGTTAAACATCATACAGTGTTATTGATGAACCGTAGTTGATGTGTTTACATAACAAGTCATGCACTCTATCATTCCCATGTGAAAGTGTAAATCTGGTAATCATTTGAAACATTTCTGTAAATATTCAAGAAGATATTTATCATGTCTAAGACCTTGAGAGGCGTTTGAATCAGTGCATGTATGTATATGTATGTATGTGAATCATGGTTATGTGAATCAAGCATGCTGATATAAGAGTTCATGATCAAGACTGCCACAGCAGGTCAAATTGTGATGGCATGTTTGATTGTATAAGTCTTTGCTAATATTTATTTCATTAATTATGAAAATAGTTTCATCGTGTTCTTCTTTGAATCATGTCCCCGGATGTTTGCCTTCATTTAAGAAATGTACCAGAATGTGATATTGTAAATAAAGACAAATTGATATCAAGACATGTCATGTTTTTGGTTATTGATCACTCCTATCAATTTCAGTAAATAGGT